GATAGGTTTATTGTGCCAACTAGACCAATAGGAACATGTGGGCAGAGTTAAATCAGGTGCAACTTGATTGGAGGACAACCAACAGAATAAATAAAGACAGGCAACATCCCATCTCCTTCTTGCTCCCTGATGATCAGACCGGCATGCTGCTGCTTTAGCTGGTTTTCTGCCTCAACCTGTGTGCTACACTACCTGTGGGTCAGGCCAGAGCTTGAGGCTCCTTCGAGACCTGCTTCACCGCGCTTCTGGTGCATACATTGCTTGAGCTTGAGGCTGGTGGATCCTGTCGCTGTGCTTGAGGTCCAGATCCATCAGGGCCTGCCTCCCTAAGCTCCCAAGCTACCGACTGTTGCTGACCCACCTTGCTGTCTGCTGCCTGTTGGCAGACTCTGCCTGCCTCGACTGAGGGAAGACCCCGATATCTGCCTCCTTGACCTTGGAGCTGGCAGCCCACTTGAGTGGAAGGACTTCCAGTATTGTAACTGTTCCATGAAAGTGAGTTGAACGGAGCCCTCTGTACTGTTGTGAAGGCTAATTAGCTGTTATATTCCTTCTTGCTGTCTAAACCTATCCATGAAGAGAGCGGGACATCGGCCTCTGGGCAGTTTTGGTCGTGTGATGTGCAATGAGAGCATGAATGCACGATGGGTGATATTGAGAAGGGCAAGATTTTTGTTCAGAAGTGTGCCCAGTGCCACACAGTGGAAAGGGGGGGCAAACACAAGACTGGCAAATCTACATGGCTTGTTTGGGAGGAAGACTGGCCAAGCCCCTGGATTCACATACACGGATGCCAGTGAGAGCCAAGGTATCACGGGGAGAGGACACTGGTGGAGTATTTGGAGAATCCCAAGACATACATCCCCGGAACAAGAGTGATCTTTGCTGGCATGAAGAAGAAGGGAGAAAGGGCAGACTTGATAGCTTATCTCAAGAAAGCTACTGATGAGTAAGTTGGCCACTGCCTTACTTATCATAAAATAGGAGTGGCTTGGGCCTCTTTTTTTTAATATGTGCCATATTTAAATTGATCTCATACACCAGAAATCCGATCACGAATGACCGATAAGAATATTTTGTTTAGACAGCCTTAAATTAAAGATTGGCTGTGGGTAAGTGACTGATCGAACTTTTAAATTTTTCATAGAAACTTCCGTTCCAGCAAGTGTTCTCACTGCTTTCCCTAAGGTGGACTTGGACTTTGGAGGCCAGGCTAGATGGTACGGTCAAATTTTTCACAAAGATGGTGAATGGCATCTTATACCCTATAGATTGATTTTATATTTAGACGTATATATCTGATTATATGGATATATTTGAATACCGGGAAGTCTCCACACTGCCTCATGGAGCAGAACAGAGGAAGGTGCACCTGTTTCAGTTCATGTCCGTGAGCCTGTTGAACCGCAGGAGTGGAAGATAAAGGTAGCCATGGCTGCTTTGTCTTTTTTGCTCTTAGGTGTGCTGATCTAATTAAAATTTTCTGTCTAAAATACTGTCTTTTAATTAGCAAAATGCTATTTGTGTATATGATGGCAAAGTATTTAGCACTTCACATTTTACAGAGATTCAAGGTCAGATACTTTTAAAAGTCAGCATGATAAGATAGCACGTTGAACTTTGCGTTTAAATTCTTAAGTTACTCATACATCTTTCAATCAGCTATTCAAAAACAGAACTGTTAAACTACTGGTGCTTTTAGCAACTCCTTAGGAAGAATAAGGTAGAGGCGATATCTTACTGGTACAAATTTGTAAATTAACTGATCATAGGCTTAAGATAATTAAAAATAACAGATTATGGAGGGAAAAAAACCCTATCCGTGTATATATAAATAATCATGTTTCCTGGCTTTGTTTCTCTAGAGCAGCGGTTCTCAACCTTCCTCGTGCCAGACCCTTTCATACAGTTCCTCATGTGGTGGGGACCCCCAACCATAACATGATTTTCGTTGCTACGTCGTCACTGTCATTTTGCGACTGTGATGAATCGGGCGACCCCTGGGAAAGGGTCTTCGTCGCGACCCACAGGTTGAGAACCGCTGCTCGAGACTCTGCCTCACAGACAGTTGTTGCAACACAACAAAGGAAAACTTAGGGATTTAAAATCAGGAAGGGTGTGTCGGGGTTTTATTTTTTCACCACCTTTATTCAATCTGTAAGCTGAGCAAATAATCAGAGAAGCTGGGTTCCTTGAAGAATGCGGCATCAGGACTGGAGGAAGGCTTCACAAACCGCAACATGCCGAAGACAGACTTCGCTGGCTGAGAAGCGAGGAGGACTTGGAAGTACTTGCGAATGAAGATCAAGGACTGCAGTCTTCAACGGGGACTACAACTCAATGTGAAAAACTAGAATCCTCACACCTGGACTAGCAGGTATCTTCTGAAGAAAGAGAGACAAGCTTAAAATTGTCAAGGATCTTATCTTGCTTGGATCCACGATCAGTGCTCCTGGAGGCAGCAGTCAGGAGATCCAATGAGGCAGTGCATTGGCTGAATCTGCTACACAAGATCTCTTTAAAGTGGGGCAATGCAAGGATGTTACTTTGAGGACCAAGGTGTACCTGAAGCAAACCAAAGTATTTTCAATCACGTCATGTGCATGTGAACTTTGGACACTGCATAAGACTGAAGAATCGATACATATGAATTATGATGTTGGAAAAGAACACTGAAAGTACCAGCGACTGCCAAAAGAACAATCACATTTGTCTTGGAAGAAGTGCAGTCAGTGCAGGGGCAGTGAATTATTTTAATACGGCTCTTCTATCCAAAGTCTCTAACTCACACCAAATGACCTTTCCCTGCATGGGCCTGCTAAGAAGGTGAGGGAAGATACGGCTAGGATTCACTTGTGAGTCATTGTGAACAGGATTCTCTGCTGTGTATAAAATGAGCCCTCTGAGAAACAGGAGGAAGGATCTTCTTACCAGTAAGAGCCAGGAGTAGAGCGTGTCCTCTGGACACAAGATCCCTGGTCAGTGAAGCTATGGGGTCCAGGTGACAGCTAAAATATCAGCGGTACAGCAGTAGAAACAAGAGCCATAGCATAGAACAGAGGTGGACTTCCCAACCCCCAGAGCAAGTTTAAATGAGTGCTTCTGTATAGGAGGCTGGCTTTTGGAGTTGGATGCCTCTGGCACTTAATTGAGGAAATTGGACTTGCCGATCCACAGAAGTGAAGCTAACTGTTTTTAGGTTGATGTTTACTGGAGTTGGGTTCCCCTGGGTACTTAATTCAGGGTGCTGGGTTTGCTAACCCAGGGACCCTGAGCTGAATGCCTTTGGGTTAAGGCTTACAGAAGTAGTATGTCTCTCTGTACATTCTTCATTTATGTGCAGAAATGAAACTGTCATGTCCTGGTAAACAACTATCCTGACCATTTCTCACTGGCACTACAGCTTGTTAACTTCCTTGATAAAACCTTTAATCATGAATTTTTTTCTGTGAATTTCTGTGCAGCCATTGCAATGTTGCAATGGATTAGAAACTAGAGAGATAAATTAAAACAAAACAAAACGACTGTCATCAAGTCAATGTGGACTCATCGTAACCTCATATGGCAGGGTAGAACTGCCCTAGTGCGTTTCCAAGACTGTAACTCTTTTACAAGAGAGAAAGCCCTATCTTTCTTCCAGAGTGGCTGGTGTTTCAAACTGCTGACCTTGCAGGTGCATAACCTTACACCACCAAGGTGCCATCAGAGAAAAATCATAGAGCATTGATTAAGGCAGTGCACCTAGAATGCTCCTTAGAAGGATGGTGAGACTTCATCTCACATACTTTAGGCATATTATCATGAGAGACCTGGCCGTGGAAAATGACATCAGGCTTGGTAAAGTAGAGGAGCAGGAAAATGGAGGAAGACCCTCAACGAGACGGATTGACACCGTGGCTGCAATGCTGGCTCATGTAAACATGACACGCAGGGCAGGGCCGAGTCTGGTTCAGTGGTTCAAAGGGTCACTAGCGTCGGACCCAACTGGAGGACACCTAGCACCAACACCAACACCAACACCAACACCAACATGCTAATTATATTTGATCGTTTTCAGCTGTAGATTCCATACAAATCGAATATTAAAAGACTTCAACGTGATGCACGTATGGACCTCATAAAATAAAAACTACTTGAAAATTAATCGTGGCTTCATAGTCCAAGTCATCATGAATGACACTGCTTCAGTGCGGTCCCATGCCCCTAGGGATGAAACTAAACTTGCTTCGTTGCCTGCATTACGGAATGGCTTGTCGACCCCTGAGAAACACACCATCTCCCTTATAACGCTCTGAAGTTTATGTTAGTCGCGCCTTGCCACAACTTTATTGTTCTTTTTATATGCCTCTGGGAGAGTCTTGCCCGAAACAGAAACATCGTACCCTGGAAAGAAGCAACAGTCAGTCAAGTCTAACTGCACGGTCTGCTTTATCTGTAAGAATACCACTGCCCGGGGGCTGGTCCCAGCCCCAAATACTAAGTGGATGCCTGCCCATCCCCTGAGAAGAATGTATCTCAAAGGATGGAACTGAATCTACAGCTTCGGGAGAAGGATATATCTGACCAGAGCACACAGGAACAGATGACGGGGGAGGAGGAGAGACTGGAGCACATCCTG